AATGTAATTTTTAAAAAATTAAGTTGCCACCTCTTGTGATATAGAGTCAGTTTAAAAGAGCTGTGTATGCTGGATCTTAAAATGATAGAACCCAATGACAGGCTTATGCATAAGGTATTGGCCTTGGACTGAAGAAACTCAGGTTCTGTTCCTTGCTCCATCACATCTTTCTCATATCACTGTAAGCAGACATTTAATATGTTTGTCTACCATAGTTCCCCGTGGTAAATTGAGCCTAATAATAATACTTAAGAGTGCTGTGTAGATAGATCTATCAAGGTTTCTGAGATGCCATTGGGTAGGTACTACAGAAAAACCTAATTAAATGAGTCCCTACAATAGTTTAAAAATCCTATTTCAAATGCCAGTTGAGGAAGCTCAGAATGGTGTGGTCTATGAGCATATGGAGCATAAGAAATAAAACAAACTTCAGTTTACTCTGTGCCTATCAGTCAGGAAATCTGAACGAAATGCTAAGGCACCCGACACTGCTGAAAGTGTGTGCTTTGTGCAAAATTTGTAACATGGACTGAAATACCATAACAACTAAATTACAAGCACCAGTGCTAGTCTTTGGAAATTATAATTTTTAAGAGCTCCTCCCAAACCAGCTGTTAAATCATGGGACAATTGTTATTCACATGCCATAAACATGTCCAGAAAGAGGAAGAATTGTTACCAGTACTGGCAGAGAAGATTAAAAGCAGGGTAGATTTCACCATATAGACTAACCAAAGTGTGTGTATGTAGAGACAGAGAGACAGACAGAGACAGAGAGGGACTTTGAATTTAAGACATACACCCAATAATTACATTCTAGACATGGAAAATTATAAATTTGTTATAATTTTCCATGTCTAGAATGTAATTATTGTGAGGTCATCTTAAATTTTCCATCCCTCCCAGCTGCAGCAGAAAAACAGCAGCAAGATGGCTGGCAATTGGAAAAGCAGAAGTGAGGAGGTGGTTGGGAGGTGGAAGCAGAAGTGGGGAGAAGCAGTGGGGAAAGCAGGGGAGGGGGAGAGGCACCCTGCCCCGCATCTCTTTCCCCTCTGGTGACTACTACCCCACCATTTACCTCCTCTTGCTGCTTTCCCCACCAATCCAGGTGCCGGTGGCACTCCTTCCCTGCTCTGCTCTCATCCTCCATCCCCCTTCCATGGGGAGACAGGGGAAGGGGGAGGGGAGAAAAGGAGCAGATGAGTGAAGGAGACGTCTGCGTATGCTGCTGATGCTGCCCCTACCCTTGTTGGGCTCCCTCCATTTCTCACAGCTCCCAAGACAAGGCTTTGTTTCACATGATGAATTGGGAAAAGAAACCTCATCTTAAAGCTGAATAAGTATAGTTCATAGCACAAGCTTTCATGGGCTGAAGCTCACTTCATCAGAAAATACTGAGGCAGAATTAAGTGGTCAAATTTGATTCTTACTGTTTTTGTGGATTAGGAAAAGAAGAAAATAGACTTTTTCACTTCAGAATTTGTTACAAAATGTATACAGTTTACAGGTTTTCATTCCTAGTCTATTCCCTGCTTTTTCAGACTCCTCCTCCAGCACACAACATAGAAAACATTAACATGCCAATTGCTGTTTGGAGTGGTGAAAGTGACCTCCTGGCTGACCCAAAGGAATTTGCGCTATTACTCCCTCTATTACCTAATCTCATTTTTTATGAGCATGTTCCTGGATGGAATCATATAGATTTAATCTGGAGTCTTGATGCATTGAATCACTCGTATGTGTAAATCATTCTGATGATGAAAAAGCATCCCTAAAGCCATAGAGCAGGGCTTGAGATGGTATGATTTGACCTCCTGGGGCTTGTTTGCTTCTTGTTGGCAATGGGTTTTGGTCTTGTTTTGGTCTTGTTTTTTTCTTAAAAAGCATTTGTACTCAGAGGATCAGGAAAAGGATTTGCTGTGATCAATTTGGATTTTTTTTTTACGCATGTGTCACTATAGCATATTTTCATCCTACCAATACTCATAGGCAGTATGGCTGTGTGAAATACCATTGTTTCATTTCAATGTCTGTTTCACCATTTTGAAGGGACAGTGCTTCATTTCATTGTTTCCTGGTATTTTGAAGCACTGTCCCATTTTGTTTCATTGAAACTGTTTCAACTCGTTTCGACGTTTTCCCCATAGGCTATAATGCGGAATCATGAACATGCCTAAAGTGTTGTCATTTGTTGCCTGATCTGGATGCAAATTATAGGGATCATAGCCCCTTCTGAAGTCATGCAGTCTGCCAAGTTTCAAGGAGATAGGTGCAGAGGTTTCTCAGAAACTGCACCTGAAAGTCTTGAAAGCAAAATTTCCTCACAGCCTCCTGTCATCCGGCACCCATATCCAGTGACTTGCACCCCCGGGAGGGCTGCAGGGCTGTGTTGAACTCCCCCTGGGGGTGTGGGCCCCCAAAACTGTGCTGAATGACAGGAGGCTTCCACTGCCGCCTGGGACCGGTGCTGGGCACAGCCCACACTCAGCACCAGGGAAAACTGATGCTGCCACTGGCCCTAGGCAGCAGCGGCAGCTGCCTGTCATTCAGGCACAGATCCAGAGGCCCACATGCCCTGGAAGGCTGCAGTGCTGTGCCAGACTCCTCCTGGGGGTGTGGGTCCCTGATCTGTGCCCCAGATGAGAGGAGGCTTCTCTGTCACCTGGGATTGGTGTTGGGCCTGGGCTGTGCTGGAGAAAATTGCTGCTGCCACCTGTCCCAGACAGCAGCAGCAGCTTCCCCTCATCCAGCACACAGATCTAGAGGCTCACACCCCTGGGAGGAGTCTGGCACAGCCCAGCAGCCCTCCTGGGGGTGCAAGGCCCCAGATCTGCACCCTGGATGAGAGGAGCCTCAGGCTGCAGCAGCAGCAATCTTGTCCAGTGCTGGGTGCAGCCCATGCCCAGCGCCAGTCCCAGGTGGGAGGCAGCCTGAGCCTTTTCTCATCCAGGGTGCAGATCCAGGGGCTAACACCCCTGGGGGAGGCAGGAGGAGCTGGCACTGCCCTCCGATTGGCTCTGCCAGCCCCACAGAGCACAGCTCAGAGGTGGTAAGCAGGTAGTGTCAGGGCTACACTCCTGCCAGGCTGAGCTACATGGGGCTGCAGAGCCACTCGGAACACAGCCCTGGCTCTCCTCTGCTTCCCACCTGGCTACTTCAAAACTCAAAATGTTTCAAAACCTTCAAAACATTTTGAGTGCCCTCATTTCATTTTGAAGCTGTTTCGATGCTTTTTGTTTCATTTCGATTTCACTGTTTTGAGCTCCAAACACGTCGAAGCAGCTTCCAAACAAAACACTTGGCAAAATTTTGCACAGCCCTACTTTCTACCAATCTTCCTCAAGCTTCCTGTTTGCAAAATGGGAATAATAAATTATCTGCCTCGTGGGGAATATAGCTAACATTTGTGAAGCATTTTGCAGATGAATAGACCTACCTAAACGTTAAATGCTACTAAGGCATATTGAAAGGCTTATTTCGGCTTTCCAAATACGTATTATTTTTTACATCCAGTCCATATTGTTGTAGGAGTTGAACTAAAAAATCAAACAACTTAATTTGACAAGCATCTGTAATATACAAATACTCAGCAACCTGCACTAACTAAACAGTTCAGCATTTGGTCTTAATGGAACTACCTTATGTGTCTTACTATAATCAGTACCATACCTTTAGGTAAGCTTTGGTGCTCATCTGTAAGTGAAGTACCTGGCTCAATTTCCGGCCTCCTCTGTAATGTTTTTATTTTCCTATTTTCTGTTGACATCGGTGGTTCTTTCAGTGGGTTTATGACACTAAATAAAATTAACTGTGATTATCTACAGGACTGCTCTCTTAAATATGTCCTCTTTATTTAACATCATGTGGAAATTTTATTATTATTGCTGTTGTTGTTATTTTATCACTAAATCAAGGAATTTAATGAATAATGGATGCATATTCATAGAAATGCTTTGCTTGTACTTCCCATACCCTATTACTATCAGCAGTTTAAGACTAATAAATATAGAAACATAAATTGATCTGCTGGCGGCTCTGATTTAGGGCCAGTCTAAAATCAGGATGGCTAGGTTTGCCTATGATATATTCCTTAGTTTTTGTCTTGTGTCACATCCTCCATTCTGCTCTCCAAGAATGAGAGCTTTAATTCCCACTTTTTGTTTTCCCACTCCCACCTCATTTTTCAAGACTTTCTCTGAAGTGAATATCAAACAAACCAAGCACATGATATAAATGTTTCTGGTCTGATCCTCAGACACATAGAAGCCCAATGGGATCTTTGCCATCAACTTCAATAGGATAGGATAGAGCCTTTGATTTAGAATTCACTTACAGGTTCACCTTCTCTGCATTGATGAGTGGTAGTAAATGGGCCATAATGCAATCCAAAAACATTTTAAATGGAAAATGTATTTTAGTTTATCCATGTGGAAGTCAGTCCCTCCACCTCCCATGCCTTCCCTACAGATAGATGGGTATGTCAGGAAATGGAGGGATATGAAAGAATTCTGCTTTTCTACAGCAATCTTCCATCATTGTAGGGGCACTTTGCCAACTGTCAATTTGGAAATGTCCATAGTAGCTGTAAGCATTATTGGTGGCACTGACCTGGTCCTAAGAACTGAGGAGCTATACCCAACTCCTCAAGATCTCTGCTTCTGCACCAAGTATAACCCAGGGAAGAGTCTGGCTCTTTATTGAGTAGTTCGGAAGGATGTGATTTTGGTTTATCTGTTTTACCTTCACTCAAACCAACCAACAAATGAACAAGAAAATGAAAGGTATGAGAATGAAAATTCCCTAAGAACTCCATGTGGAATTAGGCCCCAAAGGTCCATCATTAACCATTAACATTTTCAAGTGAAGAGCTGAAAACATTCTGTATTCGTTACCTCCCATGGCAGCTGGTTTTTAGTCGATTATATTTGGCATAGTATTAAAAATTGCATGCTCTGAAATATAACTTTCAAATACACTTTTATTTCCAAATATAATGTGAATCATGACATCCACAGACATTACATTTTAAAAAATGAATATAGATACCTTTTTAATTTCATGATAATGTAAATAAAGCAATAAAAATTGGGGTAAATTCATTTTTCTGTCAAAATGGAATGAAAATAAGTTAACTTCTTCTAGACACGGCAGAACACACAGCCACATGTGTACTTGACTGCAACCAATAGATACAATACATGTCTCCAATAAACGTCACATCTTAAAACATCCTGCCTTGCAGTCTTGGTATGGCGTAATAGGGACTGACAAGTTAAGTAATTTTTGAATGCCTAACAACCTTGATGCCATCCTATTCAAGGCTAAGAGGCCTTCTTTAACATATATTCAATGCTGGTGAACTTTAACCTTCTTGCTATATCCAGTGGTGTCTCTCCATCCTGAAAGATATCAACAAAATGCACCATGACATAATGCTTATGAAAGCAGGCACTTGGCCACAGGCTTGAAAGGAGAAATCAGATAGATTCAAAGTCCTCTGAATGGATTTTATTGTTGGATCCACAGCAAGCACCTACTGGAGTGCCATAATGAATTTGGTCTTATCTTGCTCCCACTGAACTCAGTGAGTCTGGGCCCCTTGAACTCTTACTGAAATACATTTGATTGTTCCTCTTGGCTGATATGCAGTGATTGAGAGGAAACAATGTCTAATGAAAGGAGAAATGTTACCAGGACCCAACAGGTGGCCTCTTACTCCAGAAATGGGCAGTGAGTGCTAGTTTGGGAAGGAGCTTGGCCAACACAGTTAAATGAACTGATTCAGTGTGTTCCCTGGGCAGCCTGCACTGACATAGCAATGTCTTATTTGGGGCTTAAACTGTTCTCCCCCAGCGAAGGCCATGGGGCAAATATATTTTGTCCTCCACAACAAGAAAATCTGTTCCTAGGCAACAGTGTACTCTGCAGTGTCCTCTGCTTACTCTCCTGTTTATGGAAGGTCAGCAGAGAACCAGTCATAGCTGCTATCAGCTTCTTCTGCTTACCTGATTCTTTATTGAAGGGTCTGCATGGGCTTCGAGTAGTAGGGGAACAATTGACTGATTTTTCATTTCACAGGCATAGTGAAGGGCAGTGCTACCAGACTGAAAGGAAACAGAATCCACATATATGTTTCTTGTAATATTCTCTGCATGGAACACTGGACCTACACTAGGGGTGTCAAACACATGGGTGGTTCTAGGATTTTGAAATGAGGGATGCAGATGGTGTGACACATCATCACATATAACACAACACACATTTTTCCA